GGGTCTCCTCAGGGTGCCGTCAGCCAGACAGTGCCGGCTGGCGACCCCCAGGGGGAGGGCCTTCTCGGTGGGAGCCCCCACCCTCTGGAACGAACTACCCCCAGAGATCCGGGTGATCCCGGATCTCCCCTCCTTCCGCCGTGCCCTAAAGACATGGCTTTTTCAACAAGCGGGTCTGGCCTAGGGATTTTTAGCGGGGTTTTTTAAGGGTATTTTAAGGATAATTTTAATGATCGGCCCTCTTAAATATTTCCTTTTAATTCGGTTTTTAATATAGATATCATTGTATTTGTATTGTGGTTTTTACGAGGCTGTTAGCCGCCCTGAGTCCCATGAGGAGAAGGGCGGGGTACAAATAAAATAAATAAATAAATAAATAAATAAATAAATAAATAAATAAATATATCTTAGCTCTAGGGAACAGTAAATAGTGGATTATTCTTGATTCCATCATCTCTTAAATCTGATATTTCTTTCACTGGGAATAAGAGGCCACAACTCAAAAGGACTTAAGAGAACTGGAGATTGGACAAGAGTCATGGCCGTCCAGCTTCAAGAAAAGGGAGCCTCTTTGCTCAAGAGAGACACATACGTGGCAGAAACTTCATCCAGTTCCTCCCGCAGCATCCTGAGTGCTTGGCCTTGTTCCACTTGTGTCCTTTCCTGCTGGGGAAGCACTCCCTCCAAGCGTATCCCCAGCTGAGCCAATAGCCGCAACACCTCCTTCTGGGCTAGCTCCAGCATCCATTTCCTAAAGTGAGATGTGATAGAAAAAGCCCAGGTTGGAGGACATCTTGTTGCCTCTAGCAAAATCAAGGCTCCACCCCTCCAATCTCATGTCAGAGAGATACCAAAGCAGCAGTGCACTATTGAAGTTCACTCTCCCCAAAGATGAGCAACCTTGGGGATGTTGCCTCCATGCTACTTATCAAGTACAAAAGTTGTTTGGAGACCCCAATCGCCATCCCCTGTTCCAGCAATTAACGTGAGGTCTTACCAACGAAAGTCTTCTACTTGAACCTGTTGCTGCAAGTTATGCAGTTTCTCCTAAGCAAAGTAGGGGAAATGACAGGGAAAGAATAAGATTAATTTGGGGGTATTCAGTATATTTATGTGCTGTTCTCTTTTCCAATTAGCAATCTGATACAGAAAAACTCTACAGAGTTCAAATCCACAAAGAAAATAAAAGGGAGTACCAGAGGCAACAAAATACCTTTCTCAAAACCTAGCATCTTCAAGATGTAACAAACTACAATACTCTTTAATTTCCAACCATATAACTAGGCTAGCTAGGAACTCCAATTGTAGTTTTCCAATACACCTGGAGAATGCCAACCTGAGAAAGGCTAAAATAGAAAAAGTTATCCTTGATGGCAGTTGTATGCATGTGTGTGTATCTCAATTACTTTAATTTCCCTTGGAGTCATGGGTCAAATAAGTCAATGTGGCAGCTGTGATCACTTGATTAAATCCTGTCTATTTTGTTATGTGTGTTGCAACAAGCTTAAAACTGGGCCAGGACTCCAATTATGTGATTCCAACTATCTTATTTAACAGGCTGCTCTTCAGTGCTCTGTTTCTTCATTTCCTTTCCTTCCTGCCGAATGGGCTGCTGGAACAATTGGTCACTTTGGCTTGGCTGCTGATGTGGCACACAACTGGGCTAAAGCAAGAGGAGGAACATATTGTTCATCTAAAAGACATCCTTCACCTCAAAGTGAACCTTTAGAAAATACAACTCAGCAAATCATCAGAAGAATGCGGTTTAGTGTTCCTTTCTTTGTGATGAAATCCAAACAATCCCCAACCTTTTGAATTTAATAAAAAGGNACAGTTCTGCCAAAACCCTGAAGATGGGTAAGATGGAGACTTTGCACCATCCTTTCCTCCTCCTCCTCCTCCTCCTCCTCCTCCTCCTCCTCCTCCTCTTCCCACCTTTTATTTAGAAATCTACAGAGGATAGCAACTAACTGAACATAGCTATGTTGACAGTCAATCATATAATACTCAAGATAACCCACTAAGAAATTACATGACCATAAATAACCATGATGGTTAATTAGATTTCTACTCCAACTTTGAATGAGAAACTCAAGCTGGCAAGTTTAGTTCTAACTCTTCTGGTTTCTTCTAGCGGTATCCCTTTCAGGGGACTGAAAGACCCCCAGGCCCTCCCTCGGTCAGCCCAGCCCCACCAAGAGATATGGTTGGAAGAAACCAACCATATGTGTGTCTACAGGTGTGGGTCTACAGTCTCTTCAGAGCCAGTCCAAAGTTAACTCCTCCATAATGTTGGTGAGAATGAGAAATTAAAAACAAAATCTCAGAAAACGTAAAAGATAATAAACCATTTCATATTGTTGCAAAAAAAAAAAAACTTTGCCACAAGGAATCGAGCACGGTTGAGGGAGCTTATTTCTCTTCCACACAGTTTCCTTTTCTAAATTTTCCAACAATCATTTTGTGCATAAGTAAGCCTGAGAGTGTTTTAATGGTTGACCTTGGATCTGAATTATAATCTCCTTAATCCCTGGTAGACAATGGCTCTCTTTTGCTAAAAGCTTCATACTTTTTTTTTTTATTGGAAAGAGAATCCCTTGACAAAGATGAAAAAAGGGAAAGGCTTCAAAGAGAAATGGGTAAAAATGGGCATCTTCTGTCTCACCTCCAAGAGGGCTGAGTTTTCTTCTAGCATGCTGGTCTTAATTTCGGCATCCTCCACAGCTTTTGTCACCTTTTGGCAGCTTTCCTTCAAGAAATTTCAGGAGAAGGGAAGAAACTCAGGTGGCCAAGCAAGGAAGCAAGCAAAAGGAATGAGCTCACATGGATTTGCATTCAATGTTGTGCATCTCCTTTTCTATAAAAGTTTTTTCAAGAAATTGGGGCATGGAGGAAGCTGGAAATTATCCCATTTCTCTTTTTTACTAATGATAAATTTGGAAAATATATGTATAAATACTTATGGCTATCTTTTGATTGCACAGATGCAAAATGCCCCTTATTGAGGATTGGGGAGAACATGAAGTTATCAATAAATTAAAAGAAAAGCAAACTAAGGGACTTCCGGTTTTTGCATCTGCAGTGCATGGCCGCACGAGAGCAGACCTCTGCTCCCCACGGCTAGTTTCTTCCTGCTTGGGGGACCCTAGATGGGTCCAAAGTTGCCCCGGAGAGGTGACTGTGAAGGAGGGGTGCCCCATCGATCACAAAGCGACGGCAATCGCTTCGTTTGATCCGGGGAAAGCCCTCAGAACCCGACAGGAGAAAGGCTAGCGTGAGATCAGCGTCTAGCCCAAGCAGCTTGCAGCTGAAGTCTCAGAGTACGAACTTAAACATCGGTGAACAGCGTGCTTGGAATTGGTGAGAGTACTGATCATTTTTCTTCTATCTACTATTTAAATCCTTGAAAAGATCCCCAAAGCAAGAAAACCTCCAGAAGTGAAGGAAGGGGGCTATATCCCCCATTCCCTTACAAAGGAAAGTGGCGAATTAACATAAAAGATGAAAAGAGATATACTAAAATTTGATTTAAAATATTTCGGTCTGGACAAATCCAGGAACTAAAAAACTGTCAAGATTATACCCTAAAAAATTTCTGATAGAATTATAAAAATGTATAATAAAAATAACTTTTTGGTTGAAAGAAAAACTGAAAAAAGAAATAACTGCTGACATCTAGTGGAGAATCAGAGAATAGAACATTAACAATAAGGACTCAGAAATTGGCAGAATGCCCAGAAATAAAGAAAAAGTTGTTCCTTTGAATTGCAAATAACCTTGAAGACAGCTGGACTGTTGCTTAAACCTAAGAACTGTTTATGGGAAAAAAACTTTGGCTTTTTGGCTAATCTTTTAGAGGAGAATTTGCAGGAAGGACTTAAATTGGCTTAATATACTAAATCTGTAATTTTGACTGATTGATAAATTGACTTTTGAATTAAAACATTGATGAAAGATTATTTGAAGGGGGGAGACAACATGGATATCACATACGTATCAAAAGATGACAGAACGCCACATTCAATATTCTCTCCTGAAGGATTTAGCCTGGAAAATCAAGGGCCTCCAGAAGCAATACTTCAAGGCAAGATAAATACTTTCCCGGAGGAAATATATGTAATGTTAGGACAAATACAAATGACAATAGATTCAAAGCATGACAAAATTAAAAACAACTTTGATGATTTAAATAAGCATATCTCCATCTAAATTTACAATTAAAAAATACCCAGGAAATAACAACAAAGGAACAAACAAATCAGACAGAGGATTACAAACTAGAAAACTATGATCAAATTGATGAAATAACAAAGGAAAAGAATTACAATTTGACACAAACAGGAAAAAATCTACAAGGTTCTGATACAATAAGAAAAATGGAATTATTAGGAGAACTATTAAAAGTTTGGGGGACAGAAAGAATTTATCTTACTTACTTCATCTTTTGTATTCCCAACAACGTTTGTAAAAATACAGGAACTGTTGGGTAAGCAGATTACATCAACTTGGAAATTACTTGGCAAAAGAAGAATATCAGAGACAGATACAAGAGATTTGACTCGCCCTACCAGATGGACTATTACATGAATAAACATTTGTTTGAATATGGCTAAAAGAACAGAGAATTTCGAACATAAAGGGGCCTTATAACAAGAAGGATAATGAGATTTAAGTAATATAGTATGTTTTATAATATATTAAATGTTAAAATAGTAGGTTGATGTAACTTTGATTAATATATAAGTAAAATATAAACTGATTAAAAAGGATGTTACCGTATATCTAGATACTATAAGACAGATAAAAAGTATAGTATTTTTATAATGCGTGACATAAAATATTGGGATGATGTACCTAAATGGGAAAATTTAGACAGTGAGATGACTAATATGAAGAAATTATGGCTGATAAGATTTGGATTGAATATAAGGGAATCTAAGCAAACAAAAATTATAAAAATAGGATGTATGCTGAATTAATGAGATGATGGTTATGAGAATAATATAAGCTGAAAAAAATGTTATATAGAGAGATGATTATTATTTGTATAAATATAAAAAATGCCTATACCTAATCATTTATATATTGAAAATATTAAGTATTATATTTTGGCTAAGGTTGAAGAAGGAAAATACAAATGGGAGAAGGGAAGATCAAATGAATGTATTATTAATTAATATATTAATTATGGAATTATAAAATTTAATCATTTAATCATTAATCACTGTTAATTAATTATTACTGTCCTTTTTTTTTTCTTGTTAAAATATAAACCAAGACAACACACTGTACACCAGGCACTGGAGATTGTTATAGTTAAAAATCAATAAAATATCTATTAAAAAAAAGAAAAGCAAACTAAGATGAGCATCCAAGTTGCTTGACCAAACAATTGCTAGGCCCAACAAAAAGACATTGGAATTAATTTATGAGTGTTATAGGAAGCCCACAATGGAATTATTTTCCGGGACATTACAGGAAGTCCACTATGGAGCTAAAAAGTACAGCGTCCATGTATACTACTATGATTCTTTGGCTCCTGAATCAAGTGCTCCTCAGGCAGACATCCAGCATGCCTTGTAGAAGCATTCCTGAAATTAGAGAAGCATCAGTAATGAATTCTGTGTTTGGCTTAAAGTTTGGCTGCTGTACCTCAATACCAGCTTACTTTTCCTCTGGATATGGAGGATGGAAGAGACAATGTGATAAATCTGAAATAATAGACACAGATAAGACTACACGTTCCAACAGAACAGACGCTTTCCGTTGACTAGGGAAAGATGAAAACTAGAATCTTCAAGTGGAATATGCACTCAAATGACATACAGACCACAAGTACATGAAGAGTGCAAATGTTTTGGGGGGAAATTTGCAAGAGAACCTGTTAATCTACTGTAGCACTAAAGAGACTAGTATTTTATACACTTAAACAAATAACTATGATGGCATACAGTAGCTATTGGGATAATCACCTTATTATTTAAAGAGCCATAAGAGTTATTTTGGGGGGGAAGGGGAAAAGAAGCATTTTTTAACTTGTTTATTATTAGAACAATGCTAATTCAGAACAATATAATGATATAGTAAAGCAGCAACAGGTATGTGGGCTTGTGACTTATTTCCTCACCTGTTGGCTAGAAGCATCGTCTTCATCTTCTGACCAAGCTGGCTTGATGGGAAGCAGAGGATCCCGTTTTTCGTCCCCTGCCCCCCACGGCAGGCCCTCATCATCTGTGGATTCATTCTCCGTGGTGGAATCATCACGTTCCGCATCAGTTAGATTCAGGAGAGAGACATTAGTACAAGCAGAAGAACGCTTCAAGTTCAGATTAGGGCTTTCACTGGTAAAATGGGGCTCAACTCTGGGTTGGGAAAAAGTACACATATTATCCTTAGATAATAATAATGGACTACATTTTTCTTACATAATATATTACAGAATATATTTATGATAGTTTTGATAATTTACTATAATAAAGAGCCTCGTGATGCCTCAATGGCTAACATATTTCTTGGCAGCCTAAACTTTTGGAGACTAAAAACAACACTTGGCTGGTAGCAATTTTATCATTTTTCTGCCATGCTTTCTAAACTCCTTTCATGAGCAAACAGTTGTCAATACATGAAGATATGAAAATAATGACAGACAAAATCCTAGTTCACCTCTCCCAAGCATGATGCTTTCTAAGTTTGTGTTTGCTGTTAACATCCCCAATTTATAGGATTACTATATGGAAATTCTGGAATATCGTCCTGGAAATTTTGAGAATTGAAATCCAACACATTGTTAGAGCATCTGGTTTTACTTATGTATCGCATCATTTATATATTACAGCCAAGTTAACACATTTTGGGTGACTCACATACTATCATATCCCTTTACCAATAAATTTAAGCAACAGACCATTCCAAAGAGATAGGGCAACTATCAAAAAGGCTCCCATCTCCATCACTTCTTAAAGTGGGGGGAGGGAGCGGATTCCAAAGAAGCCTCTCCCAGGTAGGACCCACAACATCTGTGTGAAGAAGATGGTTCCTAAAGTATCATAGCCCAACAGGGGGAAGGTTTTATAGAATAAAATAAGGATTTTATATAGGGAAATTTATTGTTAACCAATATATAGTTCACAGGCCAATGTTACCCTGCTGAAGTAGGTCTCAGCTCGCAGCCTATGGGCACCAATTTGAGTTTTAAGTAATCTTCAAAGGCAGCCCACGCAGAGTATATTGGAATAAACAATGTTGAGGCAAGGAGGATAAGAGTATCTGTCAATGTCTTTCACTTCCAAGGAACACAGTGGAAACACTAGACAACACTTGGGAAAGGCTTTCTTGGTAACAGAATCCACCTGCTACTCATACAGAACGATCCCTATTTTTATGCTAACTCTGTCAAGGAATGTGAACCTGTCTAAAGCCAACACCGGGGCACAAAATAAGATCAATTGTTTCTGAACAAGCAATATCATCCTCATGCTATGATTCAGTTTAACCTAGTTTCTTGCATCCCATTCAATCTCTCACTTCACACCCCGCGTGAAGATCTCCTCTGCATTTCCTGCTATGTTCAGGCTATAAAGTTTGGTGTCGTTGTGTATAATGTAGTACATACTGTTGAACTCTCCTTCCAAATCAACAAATGACTTTTCCCAGTGGTTTCTTTAAATAACAAAAAGAGGAGAAATAAGAGGAGAGAGAATCAAATCCTAGAGCATTGCACATTCAAGTGCCCTATGGTGTCACTTCTATTGTC